CCCACCCCACCCCACCTCACCCGCCTGCTCTATCCGCTAAAAGCATTTCCCTGTTCCTGCTTAGTACCAGCTGCCGGGTCAGACGGAAGAATGCGGCAGTCTTGCTTTGAGCATGCTCAGTAAGGATCCACCCCGAGCCCCTATGGAGAATAAAGCAGGACAAAAAGAATGGAGGAATAACACGAAGAGATGCAGGAGTCCAAGAAGGACGGCACTAACCTTCCTAAACTAGTCGCCTGCAGGTAGGCAAGTGGCACACTACTCAGTATAGGCCTCACCCAAATGTCAGACAGTGTTTAATTCCAGCACGACCCGCTCCGAACTGCTGGCATTTCAAAGGGGGGGACTCCCCGCTACTCTCGCCCCAGGTCCCTGATTTCCAGACGCCATACCAGACAAGAGTCCACAAAAACGACCCTGCAAACTACAATAATGACCTTCGCACCTTCCAATGTGCCGGATAGGTGGAGGACTGAGGTGTGGGGGGGGGGACAGGATCAGGTTTAGGGGCATGTCAGGAAGACGGCCAAACGCCCCCCCTTACACACCCAGGCTTGGTGCACGGCCAGTGGCATGTCAAGCAGATGAACAGCTCAGACGCATACATCTCCGCGGGTGACACAGACAATTGATTTCATTTCACCACCATTGATTGCACTGATCGATAGCTTGCCTGTGTGTTCGTTTGCATTTGCATGTGTGCATGTGTGTGAGAGCCTGACACACTGAGAGCAGGTTTTACAGACCCACACAGCCACTCAACCCCCCCCCCCAGGCCTGAACAACCTGAGCAAGACAGGAGATGGGAAATGAACAAGCAAGGGACAGACACCCGAAAATGCCATGCAGAACCAGCATTGATTTGCTTCATTAGCGCCCCCTGTCTTGACAGAATTACCAAAGCAGAGTGGGCCCCATCATGATCAAAGCCATGGTGGCAGCATCATTAAAAATGGGGATTAAAGAGAAGCGTGGACAAGGCAAGCTCACTGTTCTACGAGACTAAAGGCTATTCCCTGCACGACTAAAAGCTGCTTGTTGTACAGTATGTTAAAGTAAAATGTTTTATTTTCACAGGCAATGCTTCTTAACAAAATCTACAACGGCAAATAAACAGAACCACAAACGTAATAAAGAAAAAAAGCAGGTCACTGTTTCAGCACAGCCTGAAAATCAAGCAGGGAGCCCAGTTTTCGATTCTCCAAATGCTATCGGAGAATGCCCTTCTGTTTTGGTCTTCTATACTGGCACAAAATTGCATACAAAATTAGACTATAATATTTACTTCCAGACCAGCAGCTGTTTCACAATTGGGTTCAAAAAGACAAAACTCTTTAAGTAACACTGGAAAAGCACATCCTGATCCTTAACAGAGACATCATGAAATCGAGATGCTACTTCGACTTTTATCCAAGCAACACCTGTATTTCCTAGTAACGCACAGGCTGACAGGTACTGGAGATCAGAGTGGGCGGCGGGAGCTCGTCCTGGCTGAGAAAGAGCTTCAACCACAACTCCCTGACTTAAGCTGTTGAACAAAATTTAGAATTTGCTAAATAATAATAATAGTAATAATGAGCACATTTCAGGAAAACATGCAATCTTGCAGCCACCCAAGACAGATATTTACATCAGCCTGCACCACGTCATTCACTGGGGGGTGTCACTGGGAGATCGAGTCGCTTCCTGATACCAGCATGATCCCAGCAACCTCCCCCGCTGACCCCCCCGGACTGCTGCCTAACACACGAACAAAGAGGTGACCTCCACAATCACACCATTACTTTGTCATCATTCGGGGGGGGGATCACCCCGTTTGCAGATTCACAGCATAATATGCCCCTGTTGCCTTTGAAGTCACGCCCCACCCAAGGCTCAGGCATTATTTATCCAACTACCTGCCACTCCAAACTTCACACAAGCTGAGTGAAACACCTCTGGTTACCTAAGGCCAGGCTGGCTGTCCTAGGGGGACAGCTGGTGAGGTTGTCCTGAGCCCAGAAATGATTAATTCCCTCCCTACCTCACTCCCGCATATCCTGAACCTCACTCCTGCATGTCCCAAAACTGCATTCCCGCACATCCCAACTCTCATTCTCGCACTTCCCAAACCTCACTCCTGCACATATCAAACATCACTCCTGCAAGTCCTGAACCTCACTCCTGTATGTCCCGAACCTCATTTCTGCACGTCCCGAACCTAATTCCTGCACATCCCAAAACCTCATTCCTGCACGCCCCTAACCTCAGTCCTGAATATCCCGAACCTAATTCCTGCATGTCCCAAAACCTCATTCCTGCATGTCCCAAAACCTCACTCCTGCACGTCCCAATCCTTAATTCCTGCATGTCCCAAAACCCCATTCCTGCACGTGCTGGACCTCACTCCAGCATGTCCCGAACCTCACTCCTGCATGTCCTGAACCTCACTCCTGCATGTCCAAAAAACTTAATTTCTGCATGTCCCGAAACTCACTCTTTCACGTCTCTAACCTTACTTCCTGCATGTCCCAAACTTCACTCACACACATCCTGAACCTTACTCCTGCATATCCCAAACCTCACATCCTGCATGTCCCGAACCTCATTCCTGCAGGCCTTGAACCTCACTCCTGCACGTCCCGAACCTAATTCCTGTACATCCCAAAACCTCATTCCTGGACATCCCAAACCTCATTCTCGCACTTCCGAAACCTCACTTCTGCACATATCCAACATCACTCCTGTATGTCTCAAACCTCACTCCTGCATGTCCCAAACCTCACTCCTGTATGTCCCAAAATTAATTTCTGCATGTCCTGAACCTCATTCCTGCATGTCCAAAAAATCTCATTCCTGCATGTCCTGAACCTGACTCCTTCACGTCCCAAACCTCACTTCCTGCATGTCGCGAACCTCTCCCGTACATCTTGAACCTTTCTCCTGCACCTCCCAAAACACATCTCGAATCTCACTTCCTGCATGTACCGAACTTCATACCCTCATGTACCGAACCTCACACCCTCATGTCCTGAACCTCACCCGAGCATGTCCCGAACCTCACACCCTCATGTCCCGAACCTCACACCCTCATGTACGGAACCTCAGTTCCTGCATGTACCGAACCTCACACCCTCATGTACTGAACCTCACTTCCTGCATGTACCGAACCTCACACCCTCATGTCCCGAACCTCACACCCTCATGTCCCGAACCTCACACCCTCATGTCCCGAACCTCACACCCTCATGTCCTGAACCTCACTTCCTGCATGTCCCGAACCTCACACTCTCATGTCCCGAACCTCACACCCTCATGTCCTGAACCTCATACCCACCTGTCCCAATGCTCACTTCCACACATTCCAAACCTAAGTGTCTCTGACAGCTTTAAGCCCAGTGCTGCTCAGATGGGGATGTGTGATGCTAAACCAGCTAATTCCCCTTTACTTTTAACACCCAATCCCTCAGCAGTTTCATTTTAAAAGCCACTCTCCCGCTGCCTGTGGGAATCTGGGGCATAAGCTCTTCCAATATGACATAAAACTCACCTTTTGGAAAACCTATCATAACAGAGGAGCTTTTTAAATAAGTTAGCCTGATGTGAATTAGAGCTGTGTACCGCCCACGGAGACCCAATGCTCTCAAACTACACAATATCTTCCAACCAGTAGGGGGCAAACTTAGCCTTCATGGTCTTCTGTGCTCCAGAAGAATGCTGCTTAGACCCACCTTCTTGCCCCACTTTCATAGCACGTGTCGTGGTATCACAGTCAACACGTCTCATTGTGTCAGGAATTTTTGCTGCTTGTTAATTTCGCTTTGTGTCCACTGCTGATTTCACATGCAAGGACTGAGGGGCTAGATCTGAAGACAGAGCTTTCCAGAAGCTATGAAACAGTCACTGAAGACACCAAACCATGAACATCAGGATCTGGAGACACCATGGTTACATAGCAGACAGAAGATTTGGAACTTGCCGCTGGAAAGCATTCTTGGACCTTGGCAAAGGGGTACCTGGGTACACTAGCTGGCATCTTTATGTACGCAAGTGCCACCTTCTCACATCTAA